TTGTTGAACCTCTTTGACTCTCAGTTTCAACCAGACTCTTTACTGGTCACAGTTTCAACTTTGCTCTTTGAGAAGATTACATTTTGTAATATTAATTATCATTCCAATTGCTAGCTGTATTGTCCAGTTTTTAACTTCAGTCCACAGCCCATTAAATGCTTGGAACCCTTTGCATGCTACAAGATAATCTGATGTCAGTGACTTACTTGTGGTGGCACAACTAAGTGAAAGAAAGATTTTAGGAGTGAGTGGACTATATGTAGGTTATATCTGCTTGAGTTTGAGTTCTAGCTCTGCCATCTTTAGCCTTAAGAATTTGGGCAAGTCATTTAATTGTTCTCAGCTTTAGTTACTTACAAAGTTTGAAGTTTATAGAAGTGACCATCTAATAGGGTGATAGTGAGGATTAATTTATTCTCTATATTTAAATTACTTTGAAAAAGTACCTACACATAATAAGTGCTTTGCAGTGTGTCTCGTTACCCAGATGATAGGCCTTTCATACACACATGTAAGGTGGTAGAAGCAGGATGCCCTTTACTTAACTGGGGAGAGATGGAGAAACATGGTTTGGATCACTTGCATATTTTCTTTTTTTTAAATTCCCATTGCCTTTTTTTTATTATTGAATTGCCATGAGATATAGTTACAGACTTACAAACTCTCATGATTGCGTTTCAGTCATAAATGATAGAGCACCCATCCCTCAACCAGTACCTATTCTCCACCACCATTGTTTCCAGTATCTTTCCCGCCCCCCCACCCCACCCCCTGCATTTGTGTCAGGCACATTCCCTCTTACTCTCTCCTTTTGGGTGTTATGGTTTGCAATACAGATACTTAGAGGCCATCATGTTTGGTCCACAATCTACTTTCAGCACACATCTCCCATCCCGAGTGATCTGTACAATCATCATTTACTTAGTGGTCCCTTCTCTATCCCAGTTGCCTTGTCCCCCAGCATGTGAGGCCAGCTTCCAAGCTGTTTTGTGATCCTCTTGGCTCTTATATCTACTGTCCTTTGGTGTTAGTCTCCTATTATGTTACTTTATGTTCTACAAATGAGTGCAGTCATTCTATGTCTGTCCCTTTCTATCTGACTAATTCACTTACCATGATACTCTCCATGTCCATCCACTTATATGCAAATTTCATGATTTCATCTTTTCTAACTAATGCATAGTATTCTATTGTGTAGTTGTACTAAAGTTTCTTTAACCAGCCATCTGCTCTCGGGTGCTTTGGTTATTTCCAGATTCTGGCTATTGTAAACAATGCTGCAATGAACGTACAGGTGCAGATGTCATTTCTACTGTATTTTTTCACATCTCTGGAATATATTCCCAGGAGTGATATTGCTGGGTCATATGGGAGCTCAATTTCTAGTCTTTGGAGGAATGTCCATATTGTTTTCCAAAAAGGCTGGACCAGTCAGCATTCCCACCAACAGTTGCATGTTTTTTTAATCCAAGGGGTGGAATTGTAGTAGGTCTCCAGAGAAAGTCACTTTTACTATACTCTTCTCCCTCTGCTCAGACATTTTCCTCTCCAAAACATCTGCACTCCATCTCACATCTTTGTCCTATTCTGTTATAGGAGAAATAAAGAGAAACTTTTTAGTTGTGTAGGGAGAGGCTGTTATAAAAGGAAGACCCGTTTATGTTCATAAGTCTCTCTTCATATATTACTGCTTTCCGTGTACTTTCTCCCTAGGATACTGTCACTCACACTACCCCTTGTTTTAGACCCTATAACATTACCTACTTGCTTTTCCTCAGTTACCAGGTGAGCACCATCAATAAAATGTTCATTTCCTTCTACTTTCATTTTCTCCTGTCATCTATACCCTACCCTACCCCAAATACCTCCCTGACCCACTCCATTAGTAATCTCCCATTTGTAACTATTTGTTTTAATGGTACTTTGAGATAAATTGAATCTGTTATATTTAACAATAAATTTTGGGCTTGCTCTTCAAGCCCATGTTCTTCTGCCCATATTCTCCCTTAAATACATCTTACTTTTTTCTTATTTTATGTTTTTAATTGAATTACCATGAGATACACAGTTACAAAGCTGTTCCGAGTTGGGTTTCAGTCATACAGTGTTCCAACACGAGACTAATACCCGAGGACAGTAGAAACATGGACCACAAGGATTGGTTCACGGTTGGCAGCCTCCCTCAAAGTGCTGGGGGAGAAGGCAGAAGGGATAGAGAAGGGACCACTTTGAAAATGATAGTTGAAAATGATTACCCTGGATAAGTACTGCATGCTGAAAGTAGGTAAAGGGACAAACACAGTAACACTTCAGTACCTGTTTCTTGTTTCTTTGCTCGCCTATTTCCACTCTAGAGAAACCCATGTTCTCTCTCAAACTTATACTTCTCCCTTTCTCTCCTGTCACATCTTTCTAAATACGTTTCAATACAAACTTTCTTCCATCAGACACCAAAAAAATTGTGTTATTTATGTTCAAAAAAAGATTCCTTTACACTGATTTGTTAGGAATAAAATAATAAAACAGGACAATTATTCCTAATTTTAGCTTTGTGATACTCAAGATCTGATATTCCTTCCAGTGTAGCTTTTTTTTCATGCCTGAGTTTGAAATCAGGAATTTATTCATGGAGCAAATTCTCATGAATAAATTAATGGAGTAAATACTCTCAGATCCCTCTTTAAAATGCTAATTTCTCTGACTCTTTCCAAAACTGTCCCGGAAGCTTGAGGTCATGTTCTAATCTGTGCCATACCATGCCAGACTAGCTGTGTGTTTATTTAGGTGATCAGCTGAAGGTTTTTTCAACTGTCACCTGTTTTGGGTTTCTATTCTGATTCCACCTGTCCATAATTTGGGGAAAGTTATTCAATCTTTCAAAGCCTCAATTCTTCATCTATAAAGAAATATTAGCATTGGGATACAGAACTAAGTACCAAACTGGTGATGATGGTATAAGAATACTAGGCTAGAAAAGACATAGAAACAGTGGTGAAGGGTCGTGGACACTTTGGTGTTGGTGGTATGTAGTAATTTTATATATTGATACCACAAAGTATAACACTATTGGAATGACATAAACTATAATAAATACAAAAATAAACTTTTAAAGGAATAATGAAATTATAGCATAGAATGGCTGTGGGAAGGGAATCAGCTATTGCACATAAAGCATTTAGCACAATTCCTAGCACATTTTTAGCTTTCAGTAAATGGCAATTGCTCTCAGTATGTATTATATACTTAGTATGTAGGAACCTCTGTCTAATAATGAAAGTTGACAGACGATGTTCCAAATCTAGTCATTGGCCTCTCTTTGTATAAAATAATGAAGAATGTACAATAGATGACTGCCAGACCTCGTATAGTTATACATGATAGTTTTTATCTGGCTCTGTACTGAGGAGAGTTTGTTGTTCCTTATATTACTTGGATTTCCAGGAAGACTTAATGAAATAATTAAAATTCTGAATTACTGTACAATGGTGTAAATTACTTCTTAGTAATATTACATCTTCACAATATTTCCATTTCTTGGGTTTGTCACTTGGATTTGTTCCCAGATCCATTGAGTACCATTTGAATTTATTGTTTTGATGACATGATTTAAATGTATAAACCAGTGATAAATGGTCTTTGTTATTCTTCCAAGGAAAATGAAAACAAATGTTTTGGGAAATTTCATATGGTAGAAATACATTAAAAATTGTTGTTGAGGGGCCGGGGAGATAGCTCCATGGACTGAGTGCAGTTTGCATGTTGGGAAGCTTGGGTTCAGTCTCACACACCACATGGTTCCCCAAACACCAAAAGGAGCAACACCCCCTACCACAGCCCCACAGAGCTGAGCACCGCCAGGTGTGTCCTCCTCCAAAACTTTACTGAATACATGATAAATATAAAGCTTTGAGGAAATTATTATTTTTAAATTTTTTAATTATTTTATTTTTTAAAATTTATTTTATTGAATCACAGTGAGCTACAGTTACAAAACTTTTATGTTTTAGTTTCAGTCATACACTAGTCAAACACCCATCCCTTTACCAGTTTACATTTCCCCCCACCAGTGTTCCCAGACTCCTCCCCCCACCCCTCCCCGTGCCAAGGAAATTTTTTTTTTTAATTTTTATTAGTGAAACACCATGAGGTACAGTTGTAGACTTACAAATTTTTGTGCTTGGGTTTCAGTTATACAATGATCCAGTACCCATCCCTCCTCCAGTGCCCATTCTCCATCATTAACATTTTTTAAAAAAAATTTTTGTTAGTGAAACACCATGAGGTACAGTTGAAGATATACAAATTTTTGTGCTTGGGTTTCAATTGTACAATGATCAAACACCCCATCCCTCCACCAGTGCCCATTTTCCACCACCACCGGTCCCAGTATCCCTCCCATGGAAATTATTTTTAAAGTCTAAAATGATTCAATATTTTGGATTCCTTCACAGAAGAAAAAGAGTTGTTCTCTCTTTAAGTTTTAACTAGAAATCCTATACTGTACATGGGTGTTGTTTTTGAAAAGGAAAAAAAAAATGAGCCTCTGGTAATAAACCTGTATATATATTTTAAAAAGACATAGTGATAGTTCTTATAGTGAAAGATTTGTGAACAAATACGTATTTTTAAATGAGAATTAAATTATGTATTATAAAACCCCTTTAATAAATTTTTCCTGATTTTTTTTTAATTAACAAAAAGTACTATTGGTCCTAGTGGTATTAGGATATGGGGTTTCCACTATGTTTGAAAAAAATTTTTTTCAAGTGAATTCTATGAAAATTGTGTCTAACATATACCAAAAAACTCTTAAGAGAAAGCTAATTTTTTCTTATTTTTAATTTTTGTCTGTTTTGTGTACAAGTACAAAAATGAGTAATCATTCTGGTTCTTTTTGTGCTGGGAATCAAAGCCAAGGCCTCATGCCTGTGAAACATGTGCTCTGCCACTGAACTACATTCTGGTCCCAAACTTTCCTTTTTATTCAAATTTTATTAAAGAAATGATTTGCAAAATTATTGAATTTGCCTGGCATCATTGCACAAGGGCCATGCTAGTCTTCTCTGTCTCATTCCAATTTTAGTGTATATTCTGCCAAAGAGAGTACCCAGACTTTCCCTTTTAGAGGAAAAAAAGTGGATTGGGTAAGAATCTCCAAAGAGTTTGGATTCACTGTTCAGTTTAATCCTTATTCAGTTATTTTGAATTAAAAGGGGAAAAATATTTTTGGAACAAGAGTACTTAAAATTTTTTTCTAGGACCAATGAGTTGCCTAGAGCGCTGGAACATATCGTTTGCATGCATGGGCACAGGTTCAATCCCTGGCACCATGTGGTTCCTGAGCACTGTCAGGAGCAACCCTGAACAGCTGAAAATTACTCCTGAACAACACTGGGTGTGGTCCAAAATCAAAGATAGTGGGGAAAATTCTTTCCTTGAAACTTTCCTGAGTAATCCAGGCCATTATTCTGCCTGGAGTGGTGAATCTGGTTCAGCTAACATGAGGAACTGTAGAAAGTGTATTAAAGCAAGAACAAGGCAGAAATTAGGGCATCTCTCAGCAGAGCCAAGAACTGCCTTGTTAGTTGAAATTAAATTTAGCTGAAAGGAGAAAATAGACTTTGGTATGTTGAGAAATGAAATATTTGGCAAAGATTTTTAACAGTGCACCAGAGCAATGCTTTTTGAAGTGGAGCATGTGTAATAATGAATTTCCTATTACTGTCTTCAGATCAGGGTAATTTTTTTAAAGCCTAATTTTTTAAATCTTTCTTGGATGGAATGACTGGTGTACTGTGTTAGTGTTGTATGCTTCTCCAGAGAAACATAAACAAGGACACTATTAGATTCATAAGAAATTTATAGGTTAGTAAATGCATGTGAGAGAACATGGAGAGGAATCCGGAGATGACTGGCAGACTTATAAACTTCAGAATTCATCTGAACTGACTGAGACACAGAAAGGAGGAATCATGGATGTAGCAATTTAGACTTTAGTGCAATTCTATGACAAATTCTGTTGGGAACTTGTTGATTTGGCTGTTGGGAAATCCCAAAGCCCAAGATGGTCATTTTAAAAACACCCCTTCTCATAGGCCTGCCTTACCTGGTTTACTTATTTGTTGTTAGGGAACAACCTGTGAGAAAAGTAACCAATGTAGTGTAGACTTCACTGGCATGATGGGGCCAGGTCAGTTATGTGGTCCAAGAACAGCCTCTGCCTGCCGCATCTATAAATCATGATGTGCTATAAATTTATGTTGCTTTCTTACTAAGGCATGGTGAGAGAAAGTTAGAATTTGAATAGTATCTTTCCATTAAGAATCATTTAATGAACCCTTATTATATTTCCAGATACCATATTTTATGCTGAGATTAAGATTCCCAAAGAAATCTCTGTGGAAAATAATATGGAGACGTCTCAGAAAATTAGAACTATTATGGTCCTCAGTCATTGTTTAACAATGTAGGTATTTCCTGAAATATGGATCTTAAGGCAATCTTGTTATTGTGCGAACCTCATAGAGTCAAAGTATGGAAACATGACAAGATTGAGACTTGAAAGTATTATGCTAAGTCAGATAAAAACAAGCACTATATCATTTTACTGATATTTTGAATATGAATAAGCAAAGAAAATTAATAAAACAAGAATAAATTTTGATTCGGATAAAAGATTGGGGGTTCCCTGGAAAGAAAGGGATTGGAAGTAGATGAACCAGATATGGGGGCACCTTTTATTTTGAACTATTATCTTTTGGTGCGGGCAGCAGCTGGTGGGTGTGACGCCTATCTACTGGAAGATGGGGGGTCTGGTTGGAGAAGGCCCAGTCCCAATCCGAGTAGGCTTGGAGACCTCAGCCCCGGGACCTGCATGCCTGGGTTCCTCTGCCAGTTCTTTCATGCATGAGGCCCGTCCAGACGTGTGGAGAGTGGTCCCAGCATGGCCATGGCTGACTCTGGGGGTCCTCAGCTGCTGGAGCTCTGCTCGGGGCTGGGGGGGGGGGGGGGAGAGAAACTCAACCCTCCCCCCTCCAAGGGGCCCTGGTGAGGACAGCCAGGCGCGGGGGCAGGAGTCGTCCAAGACGTGGAGACTATAAAACCCAGCTCCCGGAGGAGAACAGCGCAGAGTCTGAGACCATTGTTCATCTTGATGTAATTCTGTCCTCCATGTTCTTCATGCTCTTTTTCACATTTCTGATTTCTTTTTCCTATTTGCTATTCTGCTTGATGTTTTCAGCTACTGTATTTGATAATTCATCAACTGTCAGCTGTTCCTTATTGTTGTATTTGTTTGTTATTGTACTTTTAAATCCATTACTTCTGTTTGAAGCTTTTTGAATCTTTCTTTGTATTTGTTATAAATCCATTTACCAATTATTTTCATATTCCATTTCCCATTCTGAATAATGTGAAACTGTCTTAAACTTTTTTCTAGGCAGGCTACTCAGTTATACTACATTTGAATTGTTCCCCAGGCTTTTGTTTTGTCCCATCATTTGTCCCATCATCTGTTTCTTCATTTTATTGAAAGTTGTAAATTCTGTGTTTTGGCAGGTGGGGAATGGGGGAGCTGGGGTTAGGGTGATGGAATATGGGAACGCTGGTGGAGGGAAGTTGAATTGGAATTGGTGTTGAAATATATGTCTAAAACTCAACTATTAATAACTCTGTAAATCACAGATCTTTAAGTAAAAAGTTTTTAAAACTTGGGTTGTTTTAGTAACATTACCAAAAATGGGGAGAGAAGATGAACAGACATTTCTCTGAAGAGAACATATGGTCCCCTAGTACACATATGAAAAAATGCCACAATCACCACTTATTATCAGAGAGATGCAAATAAAAATGACACTGAGATATCATCTCTAGTGAGAATGGTATATATCAAAACAACCAGTGTTGATGGAGACGAGGTTAAAAAACAAAACAAAACAAAAAAACACCTCTTTGACTACTCATTAGGAATGTCAGCTTTATGGAAAATAGTGAAAATAGTGTAGTGACTTCTCAACAAGCTGTCAAGCTTCCATATGATTCAAGATTCCACCTTGGCATCAATCCCAAGACTACACACACACCCACATTAAAAAAAAATACATGCACACCTATGTTCAATTCAGCACTAAGTAGAATATCCAAGATTTCAAAACACCTAAATACTCAGCAGCAGATGAATAGAATACTACTGCAATTTTCTGTAAGTTTGGTGGAACTGTAAGTTGTCATACTAAGTGAAATAATAAGTCATAGGGAGAAGGACAATGGTCTCACTCATCTGTGCTATATAAACAAACAGTGCAATAGATAATATCAAAGGAGGACAAACTCTTGACCTTTGATTGTGAAACTAAGCATTTTGAAATGGGAATAATGGTGGTGAAAATGGAGAAGAGGTGGGTAGAAGGACAGTGGTGAGGAATCTTGGGGCACTCTGCTAATGAAGATGCAGTATAAATTTGTACATCAAAACCAAGAAAACTATTTTAACCATGTTATGTAAACTGCAACAATAATAATAGAGTTGCTTTCTTATTGTTGTACTTTAAGAATTCTTTGTAAGTTTTCAATAGAAGTTCTTTAACTGCTGTGTGATTTGCAAATGCTTTCTCCCCACAGGTGCCTTGTTTTTACATTCTCTTGCCAGTGTGTTAATCTTAAGAATTATTTCCCCCCCATTTTTATTGAGTGTCAGTGTATAATTATAATGCTGTTAGTGATAATTTTGTGCAGACATCGTTCCAGTGACACCAGAGTGCCTACTTTCTTGCACAAAGTGTTCCATAGTACAGTAGTCCCTCTCATCCACCCTCATTTGCCCCCATCCACACACCTAGGTAAAGGATAATTATGTAAACCAACTCTACAGTTATGTTGCCTTTGACCATTTCTTTCTCTTTTCTATGTTTTTTTTCAGATGTTTTTAGTATTCGTTTTTTTTTTTTTTTCAGAAAATCATGTTTATTGTTGTTTAATTACCAGATGTTTGAATTTTCCTCATTTTTATTCATGGTTAATTTATATTTTCGAAGCATTGTGGTCTTAGATGATAGTTGATCCAATTTCTAATCTTCCTGATTTTATGGAGTTTTGCTTTGTGACCCAGAATGTAGTCCATCTTAGAGAATGCACCATGTGAATTTTGAGAAGAATGTACTCAGCTTTTTGGGAAATAAAGAACCCTGCATGTCTCTTTTCCATTTTTTCTTTAGAGTCGGTGTTTCCTTATTGCATTTTGCCTCGTTGTTCTAATGAGCAGTGACAGAGAATAGAGTATTAAAAATTCCACTAGAATTGCTGTCAAGCAATTTTGAACATTTTGATGATACATCATTAGGTGCTTTTATGTTTAAAAGTATGAGTTCTTCTAAAAAAGCACTGGACCCTTGATCACTAAGAAATGACTATCCCTTAGCATCTATTTAAATGTGAAATCTATGTTATCTGAAATAGGCATGGCCACCCCAGTTTATTTAAGTGAATTGTTTGCCTGTAAGATTGTTTTCCAGCCTTTGACTTTGAAACTATTTACTCTGATTGTTCAGATGTGTCTCCAGTGGCAGCAGAAAGTTGGGTTCAATTTTCTGATCTCCCATGCTACTCAGTGTCTCTTGATTGGTGAGTTTTGGCTCAGTGAGATTATTGAGGTGAAAGAATTGCCATCATTTTGTAGATGTTATGGGTGTTTGCAAAGTTTGTCTTTAAAATGTTCCTTTAATGTTTCTTGCAAAACTGATTTTCAGGGCTGTGCAGTTCCTAATCTGTTGCTGGTTCATGAAGCCTCAGCTTTTTACTTTCTGGTTTATGGCTTTGAGGGCTGTTCTGGATTATGAGGCTACTCTCAATGTCATCTTGGCCCTGCTTTGTCTCTTTTCTGACTATTCAAGATTCTACAATTCCTTATCACCACCACAGCATTGGGAGGTTTTCTGTGAATAACAGAGTGAGGAATCCGGAGCTCATAGCAAAAAGTCCTTGGGGAAGACCAGTTACCCAAGTCTGTGGGTTCACTGCAGAAGGTTTAAGTATGTGCAGTAAGAGGTGTGATGAGTCATGCTGTCTCACAGCAAAGTAATCTCATTAAGGGCCATCTAGCTCAGAATAC